ATTCTCACTTGATCTTTATTATTGACTAAATAAGAAAGGTATACCTTTTTTGTGGGGGTTGGGGGGATGTACCAGGGATTGAATTCAGGGGCACTGGACCACTGAGCCATGTCCCCAGTTCTGTTTTGTATTTTATTTAGAAACAGGGTCTCACTGAGTTGCTTAACACCTTGGTTTTGGTGAGGCTGGCTTTGAACTCGCAATCCTCCTTGCCTCAACTTCCCAAGCCTCTGAGATTATAGGCTTGTGCCACTGTGCCTGGTGAAAGGTATACCTTTATTTAACAAATATTATTATTATTGGAGGACTCTTGACTTTTGACATAGTAAGAGCGATGTGTGAAAGCTGTAGAAAGTAAGCTATAGATCCTATTTTGGCCATTTTGATTATGAACAGTAGGTAAGGTGTTACTAAAGGAATCTAATCAGGGCAAATGCTTTACTCCATTTTTTTCCCTTTCCTTTCCCTTTTTCCTTTACACCCTTTTTCCTTCTGAACTTTCTTCTTCCCTTTCTCCTTTCCTTTGTTTCTTTAGTAATACTGGAAGAAAGATACACATTATATATAAATATATATAATAATGGACACAATACAGCTATTTATTTATTTATTTATCTATCTATCTACCTACCTATCCACTTATTTATTTCTGTGTGGTGCTGAGGATCAAACCCCAGTACTTCACAGGTGCCCTTTAAGCGCTCTGCCGCTGAGCCACAACCTTAGCCCAAAGATATACATGTTATTACATTTATTTGCTCAGGAGAAAGAGAGGAAGGAAGACAAATGATTAGATGAAATTGTCAGGGGAGAGAGGATAGATCCTAAGGGTTGGCAATTTTTTGTGTGTGGTGTTTCAAGGTAGTATTTATTTTAGGCTTTGCAGGCCAACCATAGGTCTGTTCAACTCTGCTGTTGGAGTGTAAAAATAGTCTAGCTAATAGATAAATAAATGAGCTTGGGTATGTTCTAATAAACTTTATGAATACAAAAATTTGAATTTTGTATTATTTTTATGTGTCTGAACACCAAATATTCTGTTCACATTCTTTTAAACCATTTAAGAATGTAAAATATTCTAAGTTTGTAAACTCTAAAAAATAGGTGATGGGTTAGGTTTGGCCCTATGATTTGATGACTGCTGCTGTACAGATGTTAACTGTGGACAGGAAATTTATTAAAACATATGAGTAGTATTTACCTTTATATTATTAATATGTTAGCTTTTCTGTGCTCTATAATTTGTATGCTTTTTTTTAGTCTACTGAGGAAAGTTTCTTTTTTAAAATTTCTTGCTTTTTAAAAAATTATACATGATGGTAGAATTTGTTTTGACATAGTTATAAAAACGTGGAATATATCGGTATCGGTTCTAGTTCAATCCCCAATACCTCTTCCCCCCTTCTTTCTATTGATTGTTCTGCCATTTGCCCAGTTTTCTTTTTTAAATTAATTTTTTATGCACAATGGTGAAATTGACCATGGTGTATTTGTATGTGTACATAGGAAAATAATGTCAGAATGATTATACTGTCTTTCCTTTTCCCATCCTCTCCTTCCCTTCATTCCCTTTATCTACTCCACTGAATTTCAGTGGTTCTTCTTTTTTTATGCCCTAAATTAGATGGGATACAAATGTACTCAGATAATTCAAGACATCAGTGGGGTGAAGAAAAAATAATGCTTAATATGGTTGATTTCACCAGTAACATAGAGGTTTGGGGCATGACCTCTTTTTAGTCCTGTTTTATCAGTGCCCTTTGTATCTGTTACCTGGCGACAGAGAACCAGATCAATTTGAGGTAGTAACTCACTCTTTATTCTCCTCTTAGTAGTTGTAATAAAAAGCTCAAGTTCTGCAGTCAAACCTGGATTCAAATCTCTTATTAGATGCGTGATTTGTTAGATAATTCCTCAGAGCATCAGGAGCATGATGGTTAAGGTAGCTAATCATCTCAATGTATACTTAGGAGGGTAATAACAATAGCACAATAATAACTGCAGCTAATACTTATATAGTGCTTAGTATGTGCCAGATAATATTATAAGCACTTTATATACATATTAACACATTTAATTCTCACAGTCATGGTAATTCTTACACATATGACCATCTTAATAAAGAGGAAACTGAGGCAATAGAAAGGCCAAATAATTTATTCAGGTTCACACAGTCAATAAGGGGTGGAGCCAGTGTGTAAACAGGGGCAGTCTAGCCTTGGTTCTAACTTTGAAATGTTAAGGATTACTGTTTTCTAAAATGGCACTGTCTATGAAGTGCTTTAGCATATACATTTTAAACAAATTAGCTGTATATTAGCATTAAAGAATACATTGGTACCATTTCCTCAGGAAACTTGGTCTCTATATATGGTACCAGATAACCTGCACATTCAAATAACGATGTTTTTTTTTCTTTTTTAAATTTTCTGTCAGTTACACATTATTAATGGGATCTATTTTTCCCATTAGATTTTTTAGGACCATTAATGTTAGCAATTAGTTATGAGGAAATGAATCACCTTCTGTAAAATTACATTGTTCTACTAATCAGTGAATGACTTAGACTCTGAAGCTGGAAGACTTTTGGACTCTTTACAGTCCTGGTTATATACTTTTCCCTTGTGTGATCTTAGGTAAAAGGTTCAACTCCTCATTGTTTCATTGACAGTAGACTGAAGAGGACCTTTGGATTCATAGGTTTTACATGCAATAATCTTTATAAAAGTTCCTGGCAATGTGTTGAGTTTGTTACTAGGCATTCAGTAAGTGCGAGTTTATTGCTCACTTTTCCTATTCCATAGAATAACTCAAAATTGAGAACTGAAAACACTCTTAAAAATGGGAAAAATGGAGATCTAAAGAATCATCTGGTCAGTATCATACAGCTCCTGAGATAAAAGGAGCTAACACTTAATTGAGGGTCTTTTGATTTCTCAGAGTTATTTCATTGTTCATATTCCTTCTTTATTCAGTACTTGCAGAAGTATTATATATATGAAGAGTTTTTTGTTTATTTGTTTTTGGTAACTTTAAGACAAAACTTGATATTTTCACTAAGAAAAAACAGATCATTTTGGCATTTTGAATTTGATAAATAATTGTTAAAAATTTATAGATACTCTAAAACTCTGGGGCTATTCAGGTTGTGTACATAAAATTTTGAAACTGCTAATGTTCTCCCCATTCATATTTATTAATTTTTAATAACAAGTAGCATACTTAATATAGAAAAGAAAATATTAGAAATAAAAAGATGGAGATATTTCAGAAAACCCATTCAGTCATATTACACAGTGAAAATTACTATTAACACTTTGAAACAAAAATGGGTTCATCCTAAACCTATTGTGTCATAGCTGACTTGTGAGTTGGTGATGTATCAGGAAGATGGTCGCCATGTTTATACATATTATGGGAATTATATAAGTGGAATCTCTAATTGGTAGGATATTTATATTTTTAAGACTTTTGATAAATGTTCATAATTGTCCTCCAGAATGGAAATACCTATTTCATGTTCTTGTTAGAGAAATCTACTTCCATTTGAGAGAGCAGATCTTATACCTCCCATTCTTTACTGAAGAATAGCAACATATGCTTTAAGTCTTCTGTATTCTGTTATTCCTTTACATGTTTTAATTTTCATATTTTGAATTTTAATATCTGGAATAATAACTTTTAGTATCCAAAAGTGGGATTGTATGTACCTACATATAGATGGTTCATGCATTTTTAAGTGTGTTCTGTGGGGTTTTTTTCTTTCTCTGTTTGCATGCCATGAATGGTAAATTTGCATGGAACATTGTGAAATTGAAAAAAGCACTAGAATGAATTGGATGTGTTGAATTATCACTCTTTTTGTCTTTCTTGATAGTTTAGAATCCTACCTTTTAAGACAAAATTAGACTTAATTAGTGTGCCCTATCTCCTTGTTTGCCACTTTTCTTGAGTCTCTCATGATGAATAAACTGTAAACTCCAGTGCCATTTGACTCTTAGTCCTACGTGTTAATAAGGTAATTGCAGGAATGTTTTTAGATTTAAATTAGTTGAATTCCTTTTTCTTATAGGTTTGATTCTTTATAGTTATCCCATACATAAAATTTAGGACCAGAGAGAAAAGCTTTGAATTGTTTCTTTGGATCCAGTAGACTATTTCTACTTAACCTCATATTATCACTGGAAGCATAGAATTGAGTTGAATAAACCATAGAAATAGATTCTATTTGCTTAATGAAATATTCCTTCCTCAACATTCTTGGTTCCTTTGCTGGAACAGCCGTAATGGAAAAGTAACCTTCGTTTAAGTTTATCAAAATAGGAGGAATATAATATTTTGTCCTTATGGAACTTAAAATATTCCATGTTGTTTTGATAAGGAATTAATGAGGAGGCTTAGTGAGAAGTTTTGGTTTCAAGATTGTGTGCTCTGGAACCACTTTCTTGTAGAAACACTACCTTTCAATATTTTCATTTGTAAAGTTACTCTTTATTTTTTTATTCTCTCACTTAGTTGATAACTATGGAAAATGTTTTCTTAATTTCAGATAGAGATTCTGTGAAAACTAAAAATTTAAGTATTTATAAACTTGATTTGGTGTTTATATAAAGGAAAACTGGGTTGATGCTCTAAATAGACTCTCTTTTTTTAAATTTAAAGTGATAAAATGATAAAACTCTTAGCTTTCATCCTTGTGTTTTTCCGGCTGTTGTGCTGAACAATACAGCAACAAGAGAATCCCCCCCACCCCTTTAACCAAAAGAAAACTGTGTATTAAGATGCTTTGACATTTTTTATATTAGTATCTTAGAAAATATCAAATATTTCACTAGTCAAAAGCTATGGGTAAACAGTGGATTTCCTGTTTTTACATCTCATCTTAATATGCAAGTTTATTACTTCAATGCTTGACTAACTTTTGCCTTGATGATCTGTTGAGCTTTGTTCCTGAGCTGTACTAATCACTGTGCTTATTACTGTTTGAATGTTTGGTACAGGAAGCGAGCAGCTGCAAAGCATCTAATAGAACGCTACTACCACCAGTTAACTGAGGGCTGTGGAAATGAGGCCTGCACGAATGAGTTTTGTGCTTCCTGTCCAACTTTTCTCCGTATGGATAACAATGCAGCAGCTATTAAAGCCCTCGAGCTTTATAAGATTAACGCAAAACTCTGTGATCCTCATCCCTCCAAGAAAGGAGCAAGCTCAGCTTACCTTGAGAACTCGAAAGGTGCCCCTAACAACTCTGAGATAAAAATGAACAAGAAGGAAGGAAAAGGAGCTAGGATTGATTTTAAAGGTAAGATATTTTCTTTTTAATTGAGAATTGTGATTGATTACCATATTAGAGATTTAAATATATGAATTTATTATTTTGTCATATTGTGTGAGCTTAGGACATTAAGTTTCTAATAAGAAAAATGTTTTAAGTTGTAGTTAATCTCTTAAATTAGGCTACAAACTTGTAAAATTATAATATAACTGGACTAATTATCTGGTATGAGCTCTGAAACCCCATGACCGTGTGGTAAAAGAAGCAGAAAAATGTTGGGCCTGGTGGCATATTGCTGTAATCCCAGTGGCTTGGGAGGCCGAGGCAGGATGATTGCAAGTTTGAGGCCATCCTCAACAATTTATTCAGGCCCTAAGCAACTTAGCAAGACCCTGTCTCAAAATAAAGACTAAAACTTGCTGGGGATGTTGCTCAGTAAAGCACCTTTGAGATCAGTCCCCATTACCCACCCCCACCCCCAAGAGAGAGAAATGAAGCAATGTTTGTTTTTTTTTTCCTTCTGTTTTAGAAGGGAAAGCAAAATTTAGTAAAACTTGTCTCAGGAATAATTCTACTTTTCCTTCTGATGTATTCTCCCTTTATCCTATCTACTCTCCATTTGGTACAGACTTGCTGGCCAAGGATCATGCCTTAGTGGCAGTTTTCACTTAAGTCTATTGTTTTTTAAATGGCTCTAAATTCTAAAAATTGTCAAAACTTTTCCCTCAGAAAAGATAATTAATATTAGCAATAAGAAAATAAAATTTTTAGATGACTGACAGGGCTTACACCAGTAGAGGCAATTATATTTTCAAAGAGAAATCTTTTTGTTTAAGGCATGTGTTAGAGAATGCTTCCAAAATTTTCAATAACTCACTTGAAACAAGTTTAAATTAATTAGTGAAATGAAGTTGTGTTGTTTTCTACAATAAAACATTTCATAACTATAAACAGTTTTGTTACTCAAAATTTATAGTTCTATATCATTAATTAGTTCACATACGAGGAATAAATAGGTGAATGTTGTCAATATGTATAATGTGAAAACTGCAATCACTTTGTTATACACATTTCTCCAGCAAGTGTGCATTACAAAGTAGCATTCAACTGTGCCACCACAGTTGCATTCAACTACCTACAAGAAATATGGTGCATGATAGATACACTCATTGTGTTTTTGACAATATACTCCTTTTTAGAGGTGCTTATCCTGTGTTTGCCCCAGTCTTTAAGCACCCCTCACCCTTTTTTTTTGTTTTGTTTTTTTGCTAAAGTCTAAAACATGTAGCAGTTTTAATATTTCCTTATTCTAGAATATGCCACTGTCCCCTTCTTTTTCATTTTTTATTTTTGTAATGTTCTGCATTTTTCTGATAGGGATTATAAATATTTTAATCATATCAATACTTTGATGTGTACAGACATAAATCTGAAAAAAAAATCTGTTCATTTAATGTTTTCTCAGTAGAATACCTCTTTTTATTGATATCCCAGCTTAATAATTTGTATTTCTATAGTTTTACTTTTTATATATATGCATATATATGTATGTGTTTGCATAAATGTTTAGAACTCACTTGAATATTTTAAGCAAAACACTAAGTGGAAAAGTATTGATACATTTCAGGTAGTTTCTGAAAACTTGGCATATCAGCAGAGGATGTATGAGTCTAGAATGTTGCTCTTCTACAGACATATCCCCTTACTGCACACAAAGCAAGTCTCTGTTAATAACCTTATAATTTGATGATTAGAAGGCAGTGTATATTCTAATAGGACATTTATTTATGTTAGGTATCTTCTGTGTTTTGATTACGTTTTAGGAAATTGCATATGGGTTTGTACTGTCTTATAAGAAGGTACTATTATATTTTCCAATTAGAATAAAGAGAAATGGTCTCCCAGTTAGTGGTTTCAGACTTTTCTGGAAGAGATTGACGATATTGAGTAAAAGATACTCAATAGAACAAACCTGAGAATTACTTTTTAAATAATTTGAGTTCATAAAGGAAACTGTAGGTGTAGACATTTTTAACTGGGCCACAGATTAGTTTTGTGGTATGATAAAATTTGGTATTTTTGTGGTTTAACTTTTGGAAGCCATTTATTCTTTCAGTGATGACTTGCATTTCATAGCGTCTTTTACTATGGAGCAAATATGTTAAGGCAGAGTTAGAAATCATATCAAAGTGGTTTTTTTTTGTTTGTTTTTTAAACACATGTTGTACTGTCTGTGTATAAGGGTGCAGTTTTAACATCAGAGTTTATGAGATATGGTATATTCTCAATCACAGAATGCCACCCTGAAACAAACTAGAAATGCCTCAAATGAACCAGTTTGGTTTTCATACATACAAAAGTAGGAAAAGAGGTGTTTCCAGAAGATTATGCTGAAGAAAACCTTTCAGAAAAATGTTTTTCTGCCCTATAGTGAGGTTGTAATAGGGTATTATCATGAAACAGCACAGGATATGTTGGTTCATATTTACAGTTTAAGCAATTGATTGCTGAATTTGTGTATTAGATACTTTTTTTAAAAAAAATCTAACTCATAAATGAGACTGAGTCCAAAATATTTGACAAACAGAAAGAGAAATCTTTTTGTTTAAGGCATGTGTTAGAGAATGCTTCCAAAATTTTCAATAACTCATCTGAAACAAGTTTAAATTAATTAGTGAAATAGAGTTGTGTTGTTTTCTACAATAAAACATTTCATAACTAAGTTCATGAGAACTTATTACAATAAAGTGCATGTTTTGAAATTAAATATTCTCTTTTTTCTTCTAACTTTTTAGATGTGACTTACCTAACCGAAGAAATAGTGTATGAAATTCTTGAATTATGTAGAGAGAGAGAGGATTATTCCCCTTTAATCCGTGTCATTGGAAGAGTTTTCTCTAGTGCTGAGGCATTGGTACAAAGCTTTCGGAAAATGAAACAGCACACCAAGGAAGAACTGAAATCTCTTCAAGGAAAGGATGAAGACAAAGATGAAGATGAAAAAGAAAAAGCTGCATGCTCTGCTGCTGCTATGGAAGAAGATTCAGAAGCATCTTCCTCAAGAATAGGCGATAGCTCACAGGGAGACAATAATTTACAAAAATTAGGCCCGGATGATGTGTCTGTGGATATTGATGCTATTCGAAGAGTCTATACCAGATTGCTCTCTAATGAAAAAATAGAAACTGCCTTTCTCAATGCACTTGTGTATTTGTCACCTAATGTAGAATGTGACTTGACATATCATAACGTGTACTCCCGAGATCCTAATTATCTGAATTTGTTCATTATTGTAATGGAGAATAGAAATCTCCACAGTCCTGAATATCTGGAAATGGCATTGCCATTATTTTGCAAAGCAATGAGCAAGCTACCCCTTGCAGCCCAAGGGAAACTGATTAGACTATGGTCTAAATACAGTGCAGATCAGATTCGGAGAATGATGGAAACATTTCAGCAACTTATTACTTACAAAGTCATAAGCAATGAATTTAACAGTCGAAATCTAGTAAATGATGATGATGCCATTGTTGCTGCTTCAAAGTGCTTGAAAATGGTTTACTATGCAAATGTAGTGGGAGGAGAAGTGGACACAAATCATAATGAAGAAGATGATGAAGAGCCCATCCCTGAGTCTAGTGAATTGACACTTCAGGAGCTTTTGGGAGAGGAAAGAAGAAACAAGAAAGGTCCTCGAGTGGACCCATTGGAAACTGAACTTGGTGTTAAAACTCTGGATTGTCGAAAACCACTTATCTCTTTTGAAGAGTTCATTAATGAACCACTGAATGATGTTCTGGAAATGGATAAAGATTATACTTTTTTCAAAGTAGAAACAGAGAACAAGTTCTCTTTTATGACATGTCCCTTTATATTGAATGCTGTCACAAAGAATTTGGGATTATATTATGACAATAGAATTCGCATGTACAGTGAACGAAGAATCACTGTTCTCTACAGCCTAGTTCAAGGACAGCAGTTGAATCCATATTTGAGACTGAAAGTCAGACGTGACCATATCATAGATGATGCACTTGTTCGGGTAAGTTTGCTGTTTAAAATCAGCACTAAAGAAGAAATCTAATAATGGGGATATTGTAATGCAGTTCAGTGAATTCATTTAGTATCATATAGACATTGATATTTCTGATTTTAAGTTTTAAGTATTTTTGTTATTCCTGACCAAGTTTATAAGTGTATCTACATTTTATTGTCTTACCTAATGAGTACTCTCTATTTGAAAAAGGATGGATTTTCTAAATCTTGAAAACTAATCCCTAGAGTTTCTTCATTTAGAAGAGAAGAGATTATTAGGGAAAGACTGAGACATAGGAACAAGGAAAATGTGGAGATATCAATATTAAGTATGAATATGAGTTCTTAACTGGGAGACGTAGTACACTAAATTTATACCATAAAGTTGTAAGTGGAGTCCAAAAAATTCCATCATGTAAAATTTAGATTTGCATCATTGTATTATGGTAAGTTTGATAAAGTGACCAGGGCAAGTTGGTGTGTATTGGAGTTCTATTAAGCCATCAAAATGTCCCTGTATGACACTGTGGTTGTGGTAGTTTTTCCTCCCTTAAATATTTATAGGGACAACTTTGGGGCTTGAAATAATCTTGGAAAAGAGCAGCTATTCTAAAAATTTATTGATTGTCCCTGTATCATCAGCCAAATTCAGAGAGATTAAGCTAGGAAAATACTGGGAGCTTGGGTACCCATCTTCTAATTCTGTTTTTTTTTTTCAGATGGGATTGCCTCTAGTTACTACTACTTTTCCTCTACAGAATAAGAATTTTAGTGTCACTACTTTAAGAATGTTGGCTTTGCCATAAGACAGAAATCAATTGCCAGTCACATTTTAGAAAATTATATTTGTTAGTGTGCTTTAGTATGCTTTTATTGTATTCATAGCATTTGGTATCCTTGTTGTTGGTAGTTTTTTCTTTAACTTGAAGTAAAATTTAATGTCAGCTAAAATTAGTCAACCTTCTCTACTAACAGAATAAGAAACCATGATATAAACAACTACAATATAGTGATATGTATTTAAAATGTATTTTAATTTTTAGAATAGATTTGTCTAACTTTGAGAATTCATGAAACTTTCAGCCAGTGGAAAATTTTGTTACAACATCTCAGAATTCAACCTTAATGAACTTCAGAGTTTGTGCCTCTTTTCTGTTACTAGTTTTTAATAATGTCAAATGTTTATAGTGTTGAAGAAAGATTCTGCATTCTCAAGAAAGTCAAAACAGCTTTTTGGTGGAGACAGAAAGGGGCTTTATCTGCCTGAAGAGATTACTATTGCTTGCTTTTTGCCTCTTATTTATGTAGCTTTGAGCAACATTAATAATTAATACATTTAGTAACTAATCATCAAGCAGCCAGCAACTTATTTTGCGTAGTTCAACAGGGTGGGTAGGACATTTTGTAAGAATGAAAATGAAATCTTATGAAAAGCACTTTGAAGTTTATATGCATATTCGTTGTTGGAGCAGAGATTAAAATGCTGAAACTATACACTATAGGTGACATGTCCCTTCAGCTGATTTCAGCAAAAGTTACGCCCGGCCTGAAAAAAAGCAATGATTTACTGTCTTTTAAGAGCCCATTGAGGATTAAACAAAATTATCTGCCTCCCCTACTTGTCTTCTGCTCAAATATCTACCCAGCCTTATTTTCTTCCTTATTCCTAGCCCCTTTTTCCCTTTTAGAGTAATGCTAACATCCAGTAAAAGTTTAGGTCCTTGATACTCACTTCACTCTGTGTTTTAAATTTATCTTTAAGGATTTTGAGGAAATAGCCATTTCAGATTTTAAAACCTTCTCCTAAGCAAGTGTCAAAATAACTATTAGCTTTGTAGTTGCACTAACAAATATATGTGTATTTTAGTGAGTTCTGCTTATTTTATCAAACTCAATATGATTTGACTTATTATAAATTGGGATTCACTTAGATGATACCTCTACTTGATTTTTACCTGTCCATAAAACCATTTCATTTCACTAATCCTCTGTGTTGGGCACGCTGATAAGAAATAGACACAAGGTTAAGTAGAGCCCACTGAGACTTATAAGGGGCTTTTGAATGCTCACACTAAGCAGATGGCTTTATTTTCTTCTTCCCTGTTCTTTGTTGTTTCTTAGGATTTATTCTAACTGAAATGAAGAATTTTATGCTTGGTTTATATCCTCTAACTAATTTCTTAATGAAAGAATGAAGTAGTTAGCATCATGTAATAATTTAAAAGAGTGAAACTTGACAAATTCCTTAGTATAACGAGAGAAGAAAATGAAATCTAGAGACATTTTTACCTACAGAAATGAATGGCAGAATTAGAAGTAGACTCAGAAATCCAGGTCTCATGGACAAATGTAATTAAGTGATGTGGCTTTTACACTAACTTCAATTTTCTATTTAAGTGATAACAAGCTGTTCTTCATTTGCTTATAGAGAACGTGAAAAAATTAAATATATCTGAATAATCTGAGAATTGCTTTCTAATCAATAGTTTAAGGTTATTCACCACCAAACTTCTGTCCATAGAAACTAATGGGCAGAAATAGTAAAAGCTAGATTCCTTAGAGAATATAAATATTATTAAATATTAGGCTGAGTTTATGTGAGCATTACTCCTTAAATATTCATACCATTAAGGAATCATTTTTCAGTTATGGATAAGGTTGGATTTTATTTAATAGCCCAGGCTATTAAAGTTTTTAAGTAAAGGGCTTTCCTTTTGATTATTATAAATCTGGTAATACAGTATTTTTATATTGAAATGTCAACGTACCTAGGTGTTTTGGGAATGCTTTCATGTTGGGTCAGTTTTTTTAAAATGACCCCTAGAATTTAGTCATCATACCTACTTAAATGTTTAGAAAGTAAAACTGATTTTGTTCAACAATTGGTGAAAGAAAAAGTCTTGGTAAGAAGAGGAAGTTATATAAGAAAGAGGTTCATGTTGTTCGTTATACCCAGTCTAAACGTTTATCACCCGTCCCCATGGTCTCTATTATAAAATATATCCTCTACTGTTTGGTTCTTACATAATTCTCTCATTAACTAAACAAAAGTATTCAAGGTTGCTATTTTTATGAAAGAGGAAGAATAAATGCAGCCCCTATGTAACAATGACCATTGTCAAAATGATTACTGTGAAATTTTCCTTTCTTTATCTGTACTATAATTTAAAGTTAATTTTTTAAAAAAAGGCTACCCATGCAACTTTAAATGATAAAATATTTTACAAAATGACTTATATATCTGAGAATGATACTCTAAAATTGATAATTGGAAATTTACATCTGAGAAATTTAGTTGACAACTATTTTTTAAAGCATTCATTGTAAAACAATAGAAAATATGGAAAGCCAGAAAATAAAAGACACATTATAGAGAGGCTGTGAAGCACAATGATTCAGAGCTTGTTGCTGGATTAGAATCTCTTTCTTTATGACTTACTAACTTGTCTTGATCAAGTTTTTAACCTTTCATTAAGTTAACCATCTGTAATTGAAGTTAAATAATATTACCTACCTGATGAAGTTGTTGTGAAGATTAAATGGTTGCAATGTGTAAAGTGCTTTTAAGTTGTATATGTTGTTGTTGCAGTTATTCCTGGGATAGTTTGAAAATGACATGATGGCTGGAGTTTAACATAAACCTGGAAAAAGTTTTAGAACCAATAGAATAGTAATAATAGCAACAACATACTTTTATAAGCACTGATACTATGCAGAGAATTCATCCAAGCATTCATATATATTAACTTTCAATATGTTATTTTGCTTATTTTATAGATTGAAACTAAATCAAAGAGAGGTGAGGTTACATGTTTTCATTTACCATAACAAATACTGCATTAAATTCTTTTGACACCCAAGGTATACAGTCAAGATTGGTGGAACTTGACAGATATATATTTTTTTAAGAATGAGGACAAATTCTGTCTCATTTGACATATGACATTTCTTAGGTGGAGTTAAGTAAGACTCAAATATAGAACTCTGAATCCTATAGAAACTCTCCACCAAATTCTTTAAAAGGTTTCATGTTGATAAGTAGTCAGTGCTCATTTATGAGTATTAATGGGGAAAACTCTAGGATATGGTCTGAATATCAGATTTTTTTTTCACTTTGGAATTCATTATATTAGATGTATAGCATGTTTGCCTTTGTGATAGAAAAACAAATAGAAAAATAAACTTACATCCATTAACACCTAGCCATTTGAGATCTGGGAGAATAAAACTAGGAATGGGTTACATAGCAATGTGGGATATTAGATACATACTAAATGTAAATTTAGACCTCAGAATCCTATATAGTCTATAGATTGAGGATGGATATCAACTGGAATTCCGTCATCCCCCCATCCCCCCTCGTTTATTTTTAAGACTATATTTATTCGAGTCTAGATTTTTGAAACTAGTCTTTCTCCAGTTCCTTTGAGGACATAAATGTAAAGGACATAAATGTTTGAATCTTTTCTTTGGAGAACAAAGTTTTAAAAGATAACAATCTGGTGGGTTAACGTCTTAATAATATTGCTGCTCTGTAGAACTCTCTCACGTATTCTTTTAAGCCTTCATGACCTTGTAGTATGAAAAGTATTCCTTTTTTTTTTTTCCTTTGTGGATAAAGAAACCGAGGCTTGAGTCACTTGCTAAATTTAAAAGTTAAAAGTTTTATTAAGTGGCTGGGGTTGTGGCTTAGAGATAGAGCATTCACCTAGCATGCGTGAGGCCACTGGGTTCCATCCTCAGCACCACATAAAATAAAATAAACACATTGTGTTCACCTATAACTAAAAATAAATATTTTTTAAAAGTTTTTATTAAGTGACAGGGCTAGTATAGAGTATTCTGAGTTTTAATATTTCCACAATGAAATGCTGTCTCAAAAATAAATCCCTGATTTTTTTAAATTTTTGAGATTGCTTTTGAACATTCTTCAAAGCTTTAGACTAAATTCACAGAATTATAAAACCTCAGAGTTTAAGCTGTTCCGGGAAAAAAATTTCAGTCAGTTTTTTCAAACTATCTTTTTAAAAAAATTATATCCCTTAATAAGAAATAGTTTACTTAGCTTCCCAGTACACAGTGGGTATCCATCTATATACATCTAATTGAAACAAAAAAGTTTCATGAAAAATAGGTTCTGCTACTATGTGCAGTGCATTCTTATTTTTTCCCCTTTGCTGGCTGTAAACCACTAAATGGATTTGACTACCCACTAATGAGTTGCAGTTGGCATTTTGAAAAACATGGTGCTAGAGCCATCATGAATTGAGATTTTTTAAAAATTGCTGTAAACAAACAAGAATGTCCAAATGAGTATTGTTACCTAAGTAATTACTTTTGACTATAAGATACTTATTCCAGTGATAGTTGCATTGTTTAAAAACATTTTCTAAAATTCCATTTGGAATAATTGGAATAATTTAAACATTCTTAAATATTGTTTTGGCAAATTTTGATCTTGAAGAGTAAAAAAAAATTTTTTTTTTTTTTTTGGTATCAGGGATTGAAGGGGGCACTCAACCACTGAGCCACACCCCCAGCCATATTTTGTATTTTTCTTTACAAACACAGTTTCACTGACTTGCTCAGTGCCTGGCCATTGCTGAGGCTGGCTTTGGTGCTCCTGCCTCCAGATCCACTGAGATTACAGATGTGCACCACCGATCCCAGCTGAGTGAAAAAGAAAATTTTTTTATTACCATTAGATGTTTGGAAACAATTCAGCAAATAAGATGGATAATTAATCAGACATATTCTGTGTAAATTTTTGGCATAGAACAAATTATATATAAACATTTTACATTAGAATCTAGTGTTGATTTGGTGATTAATCTCACAGTGACTGAATAATCAATTTATGTACATTATTCTGTAGATAGAAAAAGTGTTTAGTAAAAGATCTATAGTTGAAGAAATGCTAGATACAATCTATAGTTGAAGAAATGCTAGATACTAGGATTTGTTAATTACAAGTGTATGTTTTACCTGCACTCATTTCAATACATTTTAAAAGATTAATTTATACTGAGTTCCATTGTGAGAGACCATAAACTGTTTTTCTGCTTAGCCAATTTATTTTTCTTAGTTGAAATTATTTTACTTATGACTTAATGGGCAGTGAGACTTAATTCTTGAGTTTTTATTCTAGTAAACATGAAGGACTATTAGTAAATAATTTTGAAGTTCTGCTTCTTTGCTCCATTGTTTTTGCCAAACGATTTAGAATAGTCACATAAGCATTAATCTCTCTTAACTTCTATGTCTTTTGAGGCACAAATTTGTTAAAAACAAGTAACAGAAAAATCTAATTCTAACTTTCTACTATGTATTGTTTTTATAAAACATCAGTAAAATTAGAAAGTAATCCTAAATATTATGCTGGGTTTTTTTTCTATTCCACTTTTCCATTTTCTGTGAGACTTAATCTGTCTTTGACTTTTTTTGGGGGGGGGGTCTGTTTGCTTCCTGTTTACATTTGAAAGGAAAAAAAGAGAAAATTTTTTCTTTATTATTTGTTTTTCTGTTGCTTCTACTTATTTTTATTTTGCTTGTATCCTGATAGCTGACAATCATCTTTTACATTTATCTTTTCAAAAACTAGCTAGAAATGATTGCTATGGAAAATCCTGCAGACTTGAAGAAACAGTTGTATGTGGAATTTGAAGGAGAACAAGGAGTTGATGAGGGTGGTGTTTCCAAAGAATTTTTTCAGCTGGTTGTGGAGGAAATCTTCAATCCAGATATTGGTAAATATTTTGATGATATGAATAATATACATCATATATTTTTGAATTAAGAATTTGCCTTTATAAATATTCTCAGCTCTGAAAAGCAGAAGTGAAGGATGATTTTGGTATAGATGACCTATAATCACAGATAACTGACTGCATTATGTAAATCTGTGCTTTAGAAACAGATTTGCATCATTCATTCAAGTTCTTATTTAAGATTATGTAACCAGGGGGCTAGGGACATAGCTCAGTTGGTTCATTGCTTGCCTCACATACACAAGGCTCTAGGTTCAATCCCCAGCACCATCAAAAAAAAACTGGGGGTGGGGGACAGTGTTGTTCGGCACCCATGTGTTCAATTCCCAGTACCAATAAAATAAAAAGATATAGTCAAATGTTTTAATAAAGGTAATTATCTTTTTAGTAAATTTGATTGGAAACATCTAAGAATGTTGTAATTTGGAAAAATTGAAGGAGTTTCTTTGTATAGTCTCAAATGGTCGCAAACTCGTGGTGTTAATGAGAGAAGTCATTTGAAGAATGTCAAGAGAATGTCTCACAAGTGTATCATACTCAAAGTTCAGAAACTAGTAATATCAAATTAATTAAATTAGATTTTTTTTTGCGCTAAGATTTTTCTGGATATGAAAATATCCAGAAAAATATGGGCTGGGATATGACTCAGTGGTTGAGCATCTGCCTAACATGAGCAAGGTCTGAGGAAAACATTTTTTCTTAGGTTTTGTATAGTAGCAATTCCTCCAAACCACTCCAGAATCCTTTTCTTACCTCATATCTAATAGTACTTGTCAGTCAAAAGAATTATTGTTTGAATGCTGTTTGTGAAATACTTATTACATATGTTGGTCTGGAAAGTGAAGGATATGAATCTGATTGTATCTTTCTTTGTTGTGAAAAGTAGGCAAAGCAGAACAGGGAAAAAGACTCCCTATTAGCATGGTCTGCTTAACGGAATAATTCTGCACTTGTTCAATTTCTACAATGTAACCACTTAGTTATTGGGCTTGCTTGCATTAAAAATTTAATAAAATTATAGGATTCAACTAAAGTTACCATTAGAATTGTGAGGGATATGGAATAGAATCATGCACATCATTTCCCTTAATCTTTGAGTTAAACTGTTAAAGCCTATGGATTCTTAGTACTGTAGGTAAAATGAATTGATGATGAATTAATGTTATTGCTCTTAGCCATTCATGTGTGTGTGTATAAATAGAAGCAAACATTTTAGGTTCATGACAAGTACAGTTAGGATAAGATTTATCTATATTAGTCTAGCCAATATTTTGTTATTAATCAGAAGTCTAGGCTCTTTGTATGTAATTTCTTCACAGTAAACCAGAGACACACAAAACTATATCCTTTTTGAGAAAGGAAATTAATTTATGAACTTTATAAGGAATTGGTTTGTAGGCTTCATAAATTTGGCAGACCTTTCACTATGTAGCTTCTGATGTATCTGGAAATGTTAAACGTTAGATATAAAATATATTTGGATTATATGCAAAAATAACTTTTAAGAGAAAAAATACATTAAGCTGTTTCAGGTGATAAGATAATGAAGTGATGGCAGTAGGAATCTTAAAGAATATCTTACAAGAGGCATCCTTTATGGGACTTTTCTTCTAGCCACAGTGTTTTGATTTCATAATTGCTATTTTTTCGTATATGGAGATGAAAGTAATGTCCTGTGCAATCTATGCTCTGGTTAATTTCTAGTTCCTTATTCTTAAGCCTAAGGACATGCATTTGTGATATTTTACCACATTTATTATTTGCCACCTGAAATTTTTAGCACTTCCATAGATACTATAACTTGTCCTATAAATAAAACATTTTTTAAGATCTAAATTGTGAGCTGAGGATGTGGCTCAAGCTGTAGCACGCTATCCTGGCATGTGCGGGTTCAATCCTCAGCACCACATAAAAAATAAAATAAAGATGTTTTGTCCACCGAAAACTAAAACAAATATTAAAAAATTCTCTCTCTCTCTGTCTCTTGCTCTCTCACTCTCTCGCCCTCTTTTTTTTTTTTAAAAAGGTTCTAAATTGTGAAACTTAAGTATGAATTTGGTAATTTACAAAACATTATTCCATGAATTGAATTTAGAAAAATAACCTGTGTTTAATGTATGCTTTTAGTGGTCAAAGAGGCATTTTAAAATCCCTGTTATTTTTAACTTAAAGTAAAAATGAGTGACTTTTTAAAAGCTTTTAAAATTATTATTATTGATTTAAAAATACATTTTTATGCTGTGTTATTTCTGACTTCTGTTGGAAATTACAGATTTTTTTCAGATCTAATTTTAAAAATATTTTTATTTAGTTTCACAGTAGTAATTGAAAAACATTTAGTAAAATAAAGAGAAATTGTAAAACCAGTTATTTTCATTCCCTAGTAATGCTTTTTCATGTACTAAAAATGAAAGAGTTCTGTTTTCTAAGGAATGATGCTAAAAAGTTCTCTAACTTGATTTTTTTTAAATAACCACCACATGAAATTGAAAGATTACAAAACTACTTTTGTTATATATTGGTTCAATTAATGTGTGTATTAAATGGCTTTTACATATAAGCTTTTAAGGAAATCTCACGTTTTGGGGTCATATGACTTTGCTTTTGCACTTAATTTTCAGTGATTGAATAAATTCAATGTAAATTCACCCTTTGAATGTTTTAATAGATTATAAAACTTGGATTTAATGAAATACTCCACGCTTTCTAGAAATGCTACCATTTCATATTACCTTGTTTCTTTACTTGTTAAAATTAACATGCCAGCATTTGCCATATTTATATCAATCAATTATATTTGGGCATTAGTTACTCATGTTCAAATGTGAGTTTTTTATGTGTAATGATTTCAGTTTTACATTTATGCTATTGTTCTTCACCAGTCTTTCATAAAATAAAAAGTAATGTATTTTTAAAAATTATTTCTTGTAGGTATGTTCACATATGATGAATCTACAAAATTATTTTGGTTTAATCCATCCTCTTTTGAAACTGAGGGTCAGTTTACTCTGATTGGCATTGTACTGGGTCTGGCTATTTATAACAACTGTATCCTGGATGTCCATTTTCCCATGGTTGTCTACAGGAAGCTAATGGGGAAGAAAGGAACTTTTCGTGACTTGGGAGACTCTCACCCAGTAAGTTCTTTTACATTTAAATAAAACCTAAGAAATTAAATATAAAATGACAAAGTAGTTTAATTTACATAAAATGTTACTAAAGGTTTTAAATACTTTTATCTAGTAAGATAAAGTTATCTTCATCTGAATTTAAGTATTAAGAACACTTAAAAAAGTCAGAGAGGGAAATTTCTATGTTACTGACTATAGGCAGGTTTTTTTTTTTTTCTTTTTTTAGACTAATTCCAGAAGGAAGAGTCTGTAAACATTTATTTTTTTAATGTGATCATATAAGTCTGCCAGGTGAAATCACAGTTGCACTGGCTTAGGGACTTGTTGTGTTTAAGTTTGTGTGTCTGTTTCTCTCCTTCTGCTCTGTCCTCCATACTTGACACTGTGGATATTCTCATAGAGCACAATGTGAAATCTGTTGCTGAATTGGTAGTGTGAGGTTTCTTAGCAAAGAATGGAACATCATCAATGACTGACAGTCTTTCTAGATTATGAACTATTTTATTTAGGGGACAGGAAGAATGGATATCATTTATGGTCCACTTTTCTCTGACACAATTTGTATTTTTTGTTTTTATTTTTCTAAAAAGAGTTATATACAGGAGCCGGGGTTGTGGCTCAGTAGTAGATGGCTTGCCTAGCATTCGTGAGGCACTGGGTTCATTCCCTGGCACCACATTATAAAATAAACAAATAAAAACAAATAAAATAAAGGTATTGTATCCATCTACAACTAAATGTGTGTGTGTGTGTGTGTGTGTGTGTGTGTGTATACACATACACATACACATATCTATATTAGTTATATACAGATAATGTGTTATATTTTGAAGTTAATTTTTCCATTTCTCATTATTAGGTTCTATATCAGAGTTTAAAAGACTTACTAGAATATGAAGGAAATGTGGAAGATGATATGATGATCACTTTCCAGATATCACAAACAGATCTTTTTGGTAACCCAATGATGTATGATCTAAAAGAAAATGGTGATAAAATTCCAATTACAAATGAAAACAGGAAGGTAATGAATGTTTTTATATTGTCATTGTTTTTGTCTCTTTGATAACAATTTCAAAACCTGTATGCTTATAATTTTTAAAGAAGTATAATAGAGTTGGAACCAAGAACAAAGGAATTAAGTAACCAAATTCATGCAAATGGTAGAGCTACAGTTTTCTAAAACTTGGATTTAATCTGGTGTGTGAGCACACAGTTGAGTACTAAATTCCTTTATAAGAGGACATTTAGTAGGAGAGAATGAGTACCTAAACAGGGTTTTTGTACCTTAAATTTAAGAAGCAAATAGGACCTTGTGATTAAAGTTTTTACCACACACAAAAAAATGATAATTGCATTTAATGTGTATGTGTATTTCTCATTTGGTATATAAATTGTACTTCTAAAGCATTCTTTACATCAGATTTGGATTTTTGTTGACCAAAATGTTATTTGTCTGAAAACAAGTAGCAGGAAAATTATATACATTTGTAGTATACCTATAAGGACATGTGTTTATATTAAAATATTATACTTATTAAGTTAGGATATAAAGTTCCTTTTATGATTCAGTGTAGTAGCTTAGGCATCAAGCAAAACACCAGATTTTTTATGAACTAGATGTGTAGGCAGCTTATCAATATTCTGTAGTAGATAGCATGAGACTTTCTGGTTTGCTCAAATTCAATACATTATACTGTATTAAAAGTTTTGACTATTATAAATGTACACATGGTTTAAATGTAAGGGAACCTAAAACATTATATTAAGGCCTCAGCTTTTTTATTTTTTGATACCAGGGATTGAACTTTAGGGGCGCTCAACCACTGAGCCACAACCCCAGTCCTATTTTGTATTTTATTTAGAGACAGGGTCTCAACTGGGTTGCTTAGCACCTTGCTTTTGCTGAGGCTGGCTTTGAACTTTCGATCCTTCTGCCTCAGCCTCCAAGCCACTGGGTTTACAGGTATGTGCCACCATGCCCATTTGAGGCCTCAGCTTTTATATTCAGTCTTGTTTAAAATACTATGAAAATTGAAACATATATTACCATTTTATGCACATGAACTTTTTACAGCTTAATATTGATTATTGTAGAGAATTATGAAATTGTAAGATATTTTCCTTTGTATAAAATTTTAATTTTGAAAAGTGTTCTTGAATGATTTGCCCACTAATTAGGTTGTTTTTTTTTAAATAACATATTATAAGACATTCTTGTGGTTAATGTTTTCGGCAGGAATTTGTCAATCTCTATTCTGACTACATTCTCAACAAATCAGTAGAAAAACAGTTCAAGGCTTTTCGCAGAGGTTTTCATATGGTGACCAATGAATCTCCCTTAAAGTATTTATTCAGACCAGAAGAAATTGAATTGCTCATATGTGGAAGCCGGGTAAGAAAGCAAATGTCTGCCCCCACAAAAATTGTTTTAAAACATCACGTATTGTTTTAATGGTGTAATGTAGAAGATATTAAGACATATTTTCTTGAATTTGCAGAATCTAGATTTCCAAGCACTAGAAGAAACTACAGAATATGATGGTGGCTATACCAGGGACTCTGTTCTGATTAGGTGAGGTACTCAATTCTTAAGAGGACTTTTGTCTCTAAATATTACTTACCAAATAAGCAAACTTGCAATTTCTCAGCTGCAAAATTAGAACTGTATTTGTAATATAATCATCAGTGTTTATAGTATGATTTATTTCCCAAATGAAATATTTATGTGCATTGTTTTCCCCTGTATTTTGGTTATAACTTACCTGTTACTCCTGGTGATGTCAAATGGTACACTTTTATTGAAATCCGTATGGCAAATACATACATATTAGCATGTACTTCTACTAGTATATAAGTAAGCATTTCCAGTTAATTTCAGGGTAGAGGTTTCCAGTTCTGTCTGCTTCTGGTAAATGCCTTTGCTACCATATTCTCTACCTCTCTGTAATATCCCATTCAATCCTGAAAAACACAAGATGTCCTTATTCCCGGTTGAGATTGGTAAAAGACACAGAGATGCCTTTAGGCATCCACTGGTGGGGTGAGGTGAGAAGGTATACAAACAGGTACCTTCCTGGAAAGTTCTTGCTCTGGAATGCAAATATGTAAACACCAGAATAAATATTAACTTTTGTCTAGCAACAAATTGTATTTTTTGTTATTTTATATTAATTATTATTAATTCTTATTGTCATTTTGTTCATCTTGGGTTTATCTCCTCTTTGTGGTGCACTATTGGTCATTTCTAGCTGCTGCATTTACTGCTAGCAGTCATTATATTGGTACTTGGAGTTTAAAGGTGATTCCTATCACATGGTGATATGAAAACCCCAGTTGCCAGTCCCAAGATGTATCACATCTCTGTAATACAGATAATACTTAACAGTTGTTAGGAAAAACGTAGCATCTTAGTGTTTCCTTGAAAATATTAGAAAATATCTATATTTTAAAATTTTTAATTTGTTATGTATGAAAACAATGCATTTCAATTCATATTACACATATAGAGCACAATTTTTCATATCTCTTTTTGTACACAAAGTGGAGTCACATCCTTTGTATCTTCATACATGATACGATAATGATGATTATTGATATGGTAATGATGACTATCACATTCCACCATTTTTCCTACCTTCCTTCCCCTTTTCCCCTTTGCCTATCTAGAGTTCATTTAATACCTCCCCGCTCCAGCATAATATGAATCAGCATCCTTAAATCAGAGAAATGATTCGGCATTTGGGTTTTTTTGGGATTGGAAAATTTCACTTAGCATTGTATTCTCCAACTTCATCCATTTACCTGCAAATGCCATGACTTTATTCTCTTTTAATGCTGAAATACTCCATTGTGTGTATATACCACTTTTTTTTTTTCCATTCATTTACTGAAGGGCATTTAAAATGAGATGGATTCAAACTAAAAAGCTTGTCAGCAAAAGAAACAATCTGTGAGGTGAATAGAGAGCCTACTAATTGGGAACAAATTCTTAATACACGCATGTCAGATACAACACTAATCTCTACAATATATAAAGAACTCAAAAATCTTAACACCAAAAAACCAAATAACCCCATCAATAAATGGGCTAAGGAACTGAACAGACACTTCTCAGAAAAAATTATACAATCAATCAACAAATATATGAAAAAATGTTCAACATCTCTAGCAATTAGAGAAATGCAAATCCAAACTATAAGATTTCATCTCACTCTACTCAGAATGGCAGCCATTAGGAATACAAATAATAAGTGCTGGCAAGAATGTGGGGGGAAAAGGCACACTCATACATTGCTGGTGTGACTGCAAATTAGTACAGCCAATATGGAAAGCAGTATGGAGATTCCTTGGGCAACTGAGAATGGAACCACCATTTGACCCAGCTATCCCACTCCTCAGTCTATAGCCAAAGGACTTAAAAACAGCATACTACAGGGACATAGCCACATCAGTGTTTATAGCAGCACAATTCACAATATCTGTGCTGTTTTTTAATGGAGAAATTGCTTAATAGGTTTTTGAGTTGTTACTTCTATGTAGAGGTACTTAAAATTTGACTATTTCTTTAAGGAATTTTTATTATGGATCATGATTGCCTGGGTTTACTAATTCATTAAGCTTTGTATATGGTAATATTCTAATTCTTTATTTCTCCTTCGTTATTACCTGTAACATTTCTTAAGTTTTACCTATAATGCTCATCTACTTTCTAGTTTCCCAGAATTATAAATCCACATATATGATCCATGTACATACATATATATATATATATATATACGTATATATATCAGCATAAATGCTTGAGTCTTATTAGTTACTAATTTTCAAGATAACATGATTCCCTGTTTCCTAATTGTTCCCAGTATTGTGTTGATGATATTGATGTTATATGAAGTTAGATTTGAGTACAGTGAAGTATGTAAAACTTAACTGGGCCGTTCAGAGTTTTAGAAAATTATATCCATATAACAGATCTAGATGTAGACTGTGTCCATTATCCCCACAGTACCTGTGCATTCTCTTCTAATCAGTGCTCATTCATCACAGGTAACCACTTTTTGTTTGTTGTCACAAGTCTTGTCTGTTATTGAATTTCATGTAAATGAAATCACATACTTTTTTTGGCCTTTGTACTTAGATAAGCAGAATATTTTTGAGATGCATCCATGTTATTGCATTAATTTCTAGTTCATTGTTTTTTATGGCAGAATAAGGTTGCATTAGATACATACACAAAATTTGTTCATCTATTCTCCTGTTGGAGAAAAACTAGATTATTGGGGCACTTATGAATAAAACTGTATGCAGTCTTACTGTAGAAGTGTTTTCTTTTTTCTGCACACCATTCTACACCTCCACCAGAAATCTCAAAGTTCATAGTTTCATATCTTCTTCAGTATTTAGTTGAGGGTAGTAGTCTTTGATTTTAGTCCTTCTGGTGAGTGTGAAGTGGTACTTCATTGTAGCATTAATTTGCATGTCTCCGATGACTAATGATGTTGAGCACTTAATATGTTATTTTGGCTAGTCATACTTTTGTAAAATTTCTGCCCCCTTTTAGTTAGTTTTTTCTTTTTGTTGTTTATAGACTTTTCCTTTTGAAATACATTCTAGCTGAAAGACCCATTTCTAATATGTACTTTGTGAATAGGTTCTTCCAGTCTATATCTCTTCTGTAGCTTTTCTGAATTACTTTGGCACTTGAAAATCGGTTTGTGTGTGAGTCTTTTGGACTCTATTCTGATTTACTAACTTATTTGAATTTTTAATTTAAAAAATTTTTCTAGTTGTAGATGGACGTTGTACCTCTACTTTATTTATTCCTTTTTTTTTTTTCAATGTGGCGCGGAATTGAACAGTGCCTCACACATGCCAGGCAAGCACTCTACCACCGAATCACATCCCCAGCCCTGATTTATTTGTTCTTTTACCAAAATCAGACTGTGTTCATTCTTTCAGCTTTATAGAGCAGGTAAAGCTTTACAGGGACCTCTTTTTGATTATACTAGATTGCTTTGGTTATTTTATTTCCATATAAATATGAGTCAGTTTGTTAATATCTACAAAGAAAAAAAAAAGCCTGCTGAGATTGTTATTTGGTTTGCTTTCACTGGTGTGGGTCAGTTTGGAAAGAATTGTAATTTTAACAGCATGGAATCTTGCAAACCTAGAACATATTATATCTCTCTATGTAGATTTTTATTAGTTTCTATTAGGATGTTTTGTAGTTTCTGAAATTATGCACGTTAGGAATAAGTTTGAGTATTTCACGTGTTTGATACAGTTGTTAGTGCTTTGTGTAATATTCTAAATCTTTTGTTGTCATCTCAACAGAGTTTATAGCATCTTAACCAGAGTTGATACCATCTCAAGAAAATGCTTTCTTTGCTCATCTGTAAGAAACAATGTCACATTCATTATAGTTTTATCATGATATTACAACAGTTAAGTCATATCTTTAGGTTTCACTTTTAATTCTAATATCTCTTGCTTTTGTCCCCTACAACTTTTTTTTTTTTTTTTTTTTGCCTCCACTGAAGTTTTGAACCCCTTGAAGTCATCTATGAGATTTGGAATCAGCTTCTTCTCAACTCCTGTTTAGGTTCATATTTTGACTTTTTCCCATGAATCACAAAAGTTCTTAATTTCATCTATCAACAATTGTGAATTCTCTCTGGAAGATTTTAACTCCCCCCCCCCACTCTGGTGGTGATAGGAATCAAAATAGGGCTTCCCACCTGCATGGCAAACATTCTACCACTGAGTTATACCCACTGCCCATCTTTGAAGATTTTCAGTTTACTCTGTGCAGATCCATCCAGAGGAATCATTGTCTGGCAGCCATGGTATAATGAAGTATATGTCTAAATAAGACTTTGAAAGTACTCCTTGGTCCATGGGCTCCAGAATGGATGTTGTATTAACAGACAAGAAAACAACATTAATCTTATTGCACCTCAGAGCTTTTGGGTAACCATTTGCCCTTTGCAGTTAATCTTTTCAAGGGACACTTCTTTTACTGAGCAATAAGGAACTTAAAATATTTAGTAAGCCATGTTGTGATAACAGATGTGTTATCATCTGGGCTTGGTTTTTCCATTTGTAGAACACAGGTATCATAGTTTTAAGGTTATTCTTAAGGGTCCTAGAAGTTTTGGAATGATAAATGAGCAGTGGCTTCAACTTAAGTTACCAGCTGCATCAGTCTCCCAAGTTTTGGAGCCAGACACTCTGTTCTCTTTAGCTATGAAAGTTCTAGTTGGGATATTCTTCCAATATAAGGCTGTTTTGTCCATATTGAAAATGTGTTGTTTAGTGCAGCTAACTTCCTTAGTTAGATCTTCTGTGTAACTTGCTGTAGCTTCTACATCAGCACTTGGCTGCTTCACTTTGCATTTTGAGTTTTGGAGATGGATTCTTTCCTTAAACCTCATGAACCCATCTTTGCTAGCTTTAATTATTCTTCTGTACCTTCCTGATTCTTTCTACCTTCACAGAATTAAAGAGGGTTAAATCTTTGTTTAAGAAAATGTGGCTGATTTATTCTATCTACCCATTAAGAATTTCTCCTATTTCACTTTTTTGACATTTCTGTTCATTTGAGTAGCAATTGAAATTTCCTTCAAGAACTTTTCCTTTGCATTCACAACTTGTGTAACTTGTACTAGAGGGTTAGTTTTCAGCTTATCTCAGCTTTCAATGTTCCTCTCTTTTTAAACTTAATCATTTCTAGTTTTTAATGTGGAGATATGAGACTCTTCATCTGAACACTAGAAGCCTTTGTAGGCTTATTAGTTGGCCTAATTTCAATATTACATCTCAGGTAATAGGGAGGTTCAAGGAGAGAGGGGAGAGGTGGGAGAATGACTGGCCAGTAGAACAGTCAGAACATTAAGTTCACTGTCTTAAATAGGCATGGTTTGTGATTCCCCCAAATAATTACAATACATGAAAGATCACAA